GGCGGTGCCACTGACTGTAGTGTCTTTAGGCCATTCCCAAAGGGGGAATATTTCTCGTTCAAGCACAGTAGAATTGTAAATGGGCTGATTCATCATGTCACACTCATAACTGTGCCTGATCTACAACAGGGAACTGCTGCTTTTTCTTTCCTAATCTCCTAATCCTTACTATTGCCATTTCCTCTACTTCTTTTGTATGTTTGTCACACTCTTGTGACCCGCTATTACCCGGGTGCCTTGATAGTCGAAGCAGACCTTGTGCTGTTGAAGCTAGAGAGGTGAGCAGAGAAAGTCTGATTCCCTGTAAGGACTTCTCTGTTGACACCCACCCCCTGGTGCTCATATGACCTTATGCAGTTGCGAGTGCCGTAAAACCCTCTACTAAAAAAAAAATAATAATAAGATAGAAATATAATATGGGGAGTGGGTGTAGACAAGGCAGTGGATGATTTGAGTAGAAAAAGAGATAATCAAATAGATCAAGAGAACGGAAAATGTTCTTCAATTTTCAGCTCAAAACCCAATACAGTCCGTGCCGGCTTTAAGCACGTTTCGGACTCAAGCACGCTAAACGGCTCTTACAGAACTTTTGCTATATAAATTACACGCCTTTAAGCACGGTAACTTCGGCTTCAAGCACGCTTCATTTACAAGACAGTCAATATTTTCATGATGACCCATCGAAGTTCGAACACGGTATAGATCTACACCGCAGCAGTGGAGTGTGTCAAGAGAAACACAAAGAACGCAAGTGATGGACAAACACACTCACACGGGCGGAGAGGAAGGCAGAGAGATGCACACAGCCGTGCGCGCGGACATAGGATCTAGCCTAGGCCTACGGCAAAGCTACACACGACCAAAAAAAAAAATATATACAAAGAGAGTCGGGGAGACGAGAAAGGGAGGCTGGCTGCGATTTCACCTTTGACCCTCGCAATCCATTAATCCTGATTGTGTATCACGCGCGAGGTGGGATGAAGGCGGTATTATGAGTGGCACAGCGGGCAGTGGTACGCACAGGCAGTGTGTTACAGTAGTCCTAGTGTGCTGTATCGTGACTGGCCGTCTAAATTAAGTTTTCATTTCCCATTCGACCACAAAACAAAAACAAACAAGCGAACAAAAACTACCATGGCGGGTGTCTAAATAACAGTGCACACTTTTGTTGGACCGCTATAGGCCTACTTACAAACAAAGGGAAATAGCACGGGGAATTTTCTTCATGAAAATCTCTGGATTATGTCTACTTCGCACTTAAGCTTGTCCCATACCAGCCGTAAATTCTAAGAGTAAGACTGCGTATACCTCGTGTAGGAATCGAACCATCTTTCTCTGCTGTTGACGTCACGGGATGACAAATTTAGTTGGCGGTTCCGATTGTCGGCAGAGGTAAAATTCAAAGGAAGTAAAGTTGCTTCTTGACCACTGAGACTCTGACTTCATGAAGACTTCTGACCCAGTCGCTCACGATTTTGCGTTATGGCATCTGTGGTGTAGTTGTTAGGCACTTTGCTGTCGCATGCAGAGGACCTGAGTTTGATTCCAGTATGGGAAGAATTTTTATCGAATACACGTGTATCTCGGCATTTCTGCTGGGACGTAGAATCCTTCTCAGCCTGGGTTGGCCCTGACAGGCATGATGATCGAGGCCAGCCTCCTCCTACATTATCAAAACTGTGTCGATTTGAGGGTTGGGGTGGGGGCGTAAGGACGTCAACATTTAAAAAAAAAAGAATTTGCATTTAGAGAACCTTGACCTTGAATCGTCAGTGTGGTGTGCAATGGCGGGGGGAAAATTCCACGACCTTCTGTTTCACCACTACAAAGTTTATCAGAGGGAGGGGGGTTCCATAAGAACTACCGAGGTGCACCATTGCATAAGTAAGTCTGTCTGTGGGTCGTAGACAGGCTGGTACAATTTCTCTTGTCGCAGGAGATAACCCAGGTCCAGCTCGTGTCTATCTGGTCAGGCCTCGGTCCAGCAGTCTGACGCAAACCAGACAATACAGCAGACGATGGTAGAAGCATTGTGTCCGTAGCTGTACAGCCCAGACAGTTAAGGTGCAGCGCCCAAGGAGGTAGTCGGGTACTGGCAGTTTGGATAGGAAATGATGTACATGCTACCGTCAGAAGTCGGCTTAGGTGCACTGCTGGCTCTGTTAGCATCATGCTGGACTATGGAGAGGATGGTCCTGGTTCGAATTCACAGCGGAACTTGGGGGTGTTTTAGGGAGTTTTAAAGGCTCTCTGCCTACATGTATTTGGCTCGGTCCTCTCAGAGATGGATGACTGCCGTCTGTGGAGTAGTGGTGTGCTTCGCTTCCCAACCCAGGAGAATTGCCTCCTAAATTGTGTCGATGGGGGTGTAAAAATACATGTAACATCTACATTTAAAAAAATTCGTAACCTTTCGGCTGTTCTTTCTTGAATAGTCGCTCCAGCTTGCATTTAATTTGTTGACCAGCTCACTCTGCTGTCATGTGGTGCGACGTGCGTGTGGTCAATGATGTGTCTCTAGAGCTCCACCTTCTCATTTTGTCCTTGGATCTCAGGAATGATCAGTTCCACGACGTACTCGGATTCGGATACTTTCTCCGCAAAGCCCGTCCTTCACGTCTTCACTCAAAGTGTTCCCCTGCCTGTGTCTTTTTACATTATGGGGGTAGTCCGCGCTGGCAAATGTGTCATTCTGGGCCCTTGAGTCACATCGTCGTTACCTCAGAATTACAAAAGTTCTATCTGACAATTTGGACCGATTTTGAGTTACTAAAACTCTTTTGATTTTTTTCATCCTGGCTGTCAATAGTGATCAATCGTTTGGGGGCTCTCGTGGCCTAGAGGTTAAGGTGTTGGCCTCTCATCCAAAGGTCCTGGGTTCGAATCCGGGTAGATACCTAAATTTTTTCTTGTCTAAAATTGTCTCCTTTCACCTCCTTTCCAGCTCTCTAGCAATGACATCTGTCGTCTGCTTTCGTCTCCTCTTTCTGCCTCCACCCCCTCACCTCCTTTGCCCCCTCCTCTGGGCTCCTGACTCTTTCTGCAGCTACTCTACTGCTATTATACTTCTTGGCTCCTTCGCACTGCTGTCTTTCAGCCACATCCCTGATCTTCTGGTAGGAAAGATCTACACCTAGCCCTCTCGGACAAGAGCGAAATATGTCGGAGGGCCCATGTGCAAGTTGCGCACGTTAAAGATCCCTTTGTGGTCTAAAAATCGATTCATTCAAAATTTCCTACCAACTGAAAAAAATTAATGTGTTTCGCGCGCTCATGACCTTATGCAGTTGCGAGCGCCGTAAAACACTTAAGCCTGCCAAAAAAACCAACAACACAAAACAGTCGTTTTCCACAGAAAAATAATACAAAACATTATTTGATTTATCTTTATGTCTCGAAATATTATTTGTAATCTATTTTTATCTTTGTTTCTAGAAATCTTTCTTGTTTCGTTCTGGCTGTAATACTGATAATACCAAAGATTCTCCGTTTTCTTTGGTAATACACAAGGAGTTTAGAACTTACTTTTAATCTCCTGGGTAATACACGAAGTCAGACACGAAGCTCCATAAAACGCATAGCCTACAAAGTCTAAGGCTCCGGATTCCATTTTCTTTGAACGGTTCAATAGCCGGTGACCCCGGAGACATTGACCTTTAGAAATCAACAACATGGCTGCCCGCATGAAGCAGGGACTCTCGAGTCTTGTTCAGAAATTGGATGTCGTACGACATCGGCTTGTGCTCTTGGAACACATTATTTCTGGAAAATGTACGCCAAAACAGTTATGTTTTTTCTGTATTGATTTACATGCAAGAGGAAGTCATCATCTAACCTCCAACGATAGCAAGTCTAACCTCAAAATGACCCTTTCATTTCCAAGTCCAGTCGGTTGTGCTAGGCTGGGCTTGTCCTTCTTCTCTCAATTCATGTCTCATCATTAGTCTATCAAAAACACAATAACAACTTAAACTTAACTACGACTACTTGGGAGGCCTTCAAAAAAGTATATACTTCTAGAATCTAGATCTATCTAAATCTAGATCTAGATCTAGATTCTAGTAACCTACTAAATCTGGATTCTTAGATCTAGAATCTAGAGATCTAGACTAGAAATCTAGAGTCTCTACTAGATCTAGATCAGGCAGGTCTTACTTCGCACTTTTGATGGCGCTCTTTGGAAATTGCCTTGCCATGTAAACTTTAAGATTGAGTGTTTAAAAAAAAATTATTATTGGCAGGCGCTATTTGCAATGCCGCGTTCTGAATGGCTCCCGTGCTATTTGAAACGCCAGTAGTACTAGAATCTAGTCTAGATCTAGATCTAGATCTAGATCTAGTAGTAGTAGCAGCCGTTTCTACAAGACTATACATGATGATAATAATATTGTAGTTCTGCCTGAATTGTGGAAGCTTTCTTAGTTTTTTGATAAACCTCCTAGGATTTGACTCCTTTTTTTATGACGTTGTCATATTCCGATCAATATTGGGTAGATATAGATCCAGATCTAGATCTAGATTCTAGTAAAGATCTAACAATTGT